TGTGTGTGTGTGTGTGTGTGTGTGTGTGTGTGTGTGTGTGTGTGTGTGTGTATATATTTTAATAAATATAATATGGGAAACCTATATGATATTACATGCTTTAAACTGTATCAAATAACAAACGGTGACTATTTATAAGAAGATTGTTCTTTTAGGTAACAAGGAATATATGATTTAGAATTGAATAAAATTTGATGGACATGTGCTAGAAGATGTATGAAAGTATGTATAATATTTACAATGTACATAGAACAAAATGTAATTATTTATAACGAAGAAAATATACGTTTATATGCTTCCGAAATTATTTAAAACAAAGTCTTCCCCTCTCAGATGCTGGTAGGAAATGTATTATAATGGAAGGAGCAAGCAGAAAGCTCTAATAATGAAACCTAATTTGAACCAAGGCAACAACTTACATAACTATCATGTAACTTAAGTATTAATAAAATAAACAAAGAATGAAAACGTCATAATTTGGATTAGTACAACTGGACGCATAAGGATAGCGGGGTTATGTATGTCTGTGTGCAACCTGTGAGAGAAAAAGTTTTTACAAGTGTTTTGGATGCTAATTGAATGTTTAATCGTATATGACAGATGTAGGATTATTTTTAAATCTAATAATCATACTTAAAAGTGCTGTTAAAAGTGGTATATGAATATGGATTTGTGCACTGAATCAATGCAGAATAAGGTATCATATCTGGAGAGGAAGGGTATGGACACTAGTATTTTAAATCGATGCGTCACGTTCGATGCAATACAAAATGTACAGAAAGACATGTCATCTTGAATTATGACTTGAATGTGAAAATATTGTAGAACATTGTCATATCGACCCATACTTGCCTTGTGCTATTTATCCAGTTGTACGAAATCATGAAGCAAAGAATGTAATAATAAACTCTCATTAATATTCAAAAACAGTATTAAACTTTATGATAGAAAGACATCAGAAGGTTTGCATTCAAAGTAATAGATATGTATATGCCTCTCTATTGAAAGAAGTTTGTTTTGTATTATCAATAATAAAAGAAATAATAAAGGATTCATGATCATGATTCTTCGTATAATACATAAGCAAACAGATAGTGTAATCATCTAAGAAAGTGTAGTACAAAGAAAAGCATCTATTATGAAAGTAATGTTTGTTATTACATTCCTCAATATAAGCAGATTTAATAATTATATTTTAGTCCACTTATTTGTACATCACTTGAAAAGGTGTTTCTGCAATAGAGATACTGTAATACTCAATGTTATGAACCATGAATTAGTTATTATTTACCTTGGATTTTTGTGTTAAACCGTTTATTAAAATAGTATTATGTTAGGAGAAAAACAGATATGAAAACTTACATGTTTTTGGTGTTAAATAAACGGATACGGCTGTAATGGGATCGTAATTTGGATCGCGGTACAGTTCGGTTACAAGTAGATCATTATCCTTCATTCTCAAAGGAAACTTTTCCATGTCTGAAAATTAATGTCAGGTACCATTTATTGTTAAATTTGTTTCGATCGTTGGAACAGATGTTTTAACAACGTAGTTTCACTTACCAATGTAATAAATAGATCCATTGTTGCAACCCAGTAGAAGGAAAGATCCAGCTGTATCAAATGATAAAATGGGCACTACATCTTGTATCTGCCAATGATGCGTCATAGCATGCCATACTCCGATTTTATCGGTAGGGGATAGAGCCACTAATTGACTTCCAATAAAAAATAAATATTCCACGCGAACGTTTAAGTTGAATGTACCGATGTTAGTTTTTATCCCATTCGTTGAAACGCTCCATAATCTTACTTGATTTCCGTAAGAAATAGCAACCATTTTAATATCGCCGCTAGTGCTCATTTTCGAAGTTATCGCTACTCTTTCGATCACTGATTCGATATGGGGACTAGTAAATGCGTGCTGCCATCCTGACGAATCTTTAAGTCGGTAGCACGTTATAAAATGCGCGTAAGCGATTACAATCCAATTGTGATGTGCTTTTATGATTTGAACCCTTAGGGGATCGACCCATGATGAAACTGTATAAGCAAACATTTTTATTAAACTTTTGCCAGAATTTTGGAAGTCAAATATATTTATTTGTTTACCTTGTTGGGGGCCGAACACTAAACTTATGTCATTTTTATATAACTTATTCAAGTCTGCTGAATTATTCCTAACATGTCTTAAATCTAGAGATGATGTACGGGAGTGTGGTAAACCTCTTTGTTGAATTCTACAATCCAATGAAGAATTCCTTACGTGTGTTCCAAGCGCTCCTTTATGGTTTTGTTGCCCTAAACAAAATTTAAATTTATATTTGGTTTTATTCAATAAGATAGCAGTAATAATTTTTACATAAATTAGACTAAGCATCACATGTTCTTTACCATTACTGTTGTGGTTAGTACTAGAACTTGCAGGAGTTGTACTTTGTGAAGTGGATGGTAGTTCTACCCTAGAGTTAGTAGTATTAGCAGGAACTCTACCATGAACAGAAACATCCCCTACATTAGGTGGAATGGTAGTAGGTTCTTGCAGTGGTATACCTTTAGAATCAAAATATTTTTTACACAAACTAATCATTTGGTTTTATTCTACAAGATAAAATTATTTAAAAGCTTACTTGGTGGTGGTAAATAACCATAAAATAACACATCTCCACAAGAAGACTGAGTCAAATCCTCGCACAACATCAAACGTTTAACTAATGGTGTAATACCATAATATTCAGCTTCGTGCCTCAATGTTCGAAGATCTACATTCTTTAAGTCAATGTCTTTTGTGCGTAAATAATTCAGAATAATAGAAAACAACTTTGGATCTCTGTCTATGAATAATGCTCCAATTTCATCTCTGTGACTAGCGATTCTATTACTTAATAAAGCAGTGAAAAACGAATCTGGGATCCATGTTAATGTTTGCTTTGATGTTGAAAACCTAATTAATGAATTCAATTAGTAAATTATTTTAATAGGTGATCAACAAGCAATTAAAAGAAACAATCCACTGTACCTTGTTCCACCAACATTTAAATGCACAATATCACCAACGCTAAAGGAAGGAGGTACGGCCATTGTTACGACTGATTTCGGCACAAACGTTTATTACAACAATTCATGTCTTATCTTAATAATAATAATAGTTAAACAATCCCGAGATTAAACGCTGCGTTTCAAAGGTTATGAACCACTTTTTGGATACTGGCGCCCGTAGGTGCGCTCTGATGACAATTCGAAATTCGAAATACTTTCTTTGGTACATCAAGAACATTAATCTATCAAATTTTCATACAGAAATATTGTTCGAGATCAGCATTACATATGAGAATTATTACGAAGACATTGCTAAGAATATTAGAAATATCTTTTCGTGTTAGTATTTGGCAACAGTAAACGAAAAAATCGCACTCGTCGGTGATAAGACCATAGGCGACATATAGAATAGACTAGTCATCGAGTGAATGTTTGTGTTTTACGAACTAAATTACCGACCTCATCAATAATGCGTGGTTTGAAGAGCACCCTTTATTGAAGGACGGTGACTTTAGGAATCACGTTCAACCGGAAGCACCAAAATCATAACTTTTAGTAATTTCATGAATTTCGATTTCTGCTGCTAATATGCAAATTAATGTTTACAGGTGAAAATTAATTAAAAGATAATTCAAACGTAATATAATTGTATAAAATATGGATTACAGTGGGATGATTAAGACATCTCTTCTCTTTTGGCACTGCACGATACTTGGCGCCAAAACAGTCACTCAACGACTAGAACGAGTCAACTGTGCCGCGAAAATGAAGGTGACGAGACGCTTTAAAGAAGCTGCGAATAATTCACATTCTGAAGTACGTAATCTTTATCTGGTTAACATATAACAGTTTCTAGTCATTATTACTACTATTGTTTACTCTCCGTTAGTGTTTTCATGTAGTATTAATAAACATTTCATCGTAAATTCAATATACACCCCGAGAAAGGAGCACTCGCTTTCACGGCTTCCCCTTTCTTCATTTCTTGCTAATTAAGACTACGTTTCTCTTAGTTAGATTACAATCTTTTCCGAGTTATTTCAAGCTCGATAGTTAGCTTGATAGTTAATCATAGCTGTATTAGTTTAAACAAGTCTTTTTAAATTCTGTTGATTTTTTGACCGATTAAAATGTGGGTGAATGGCATAGACGCCATTAGGACGCCAAATTTCATGAAGGGTGGTAAAACTTGTAATTAATTAAACTAATTTTAGATTTATTAAACGTTTTCAGGTGCGATCTTCCCTGTACATTTCATCATATGGCTGGAATCTTCTAAATCGCGTCTGGGTGAGTCTGTTTTATATTTCGACTATGCTGTTATAACGAATAAATATTTCGCATCGTATGTTCTCGACGAACGTTTTAGAAAATTAGTTTCCAACGATCCACCACAAAATGGCTACACCATGCCAACATTCTGCATGGTACGTTACCGACAAGCGTACATCTCGTATGGTATACTATCTTTAGAAAAAAATAGATACACGTTTTAGAAATAGCTTTCACGACTCACCACGAGGTGGCTGCATTATGCTAACATTCTACATGGTACGTTACCGACAAGCGTGCCTCTAGTATGGTATATTACCATCAGACAAAATTAAACACACGAAGAGCAGTTTCCATGATGTTCCAAAAGGTGGCTACACTTTTATTTTCACCAAATTGCAGTAGGCACCTGTTTTGCAATTAAATATTTGCTTTAAAATATTTGCGAATAATCACGATGACAATTTATCAGCCTTCTTACTGTTACACTTAGCAACTAATGCACGAATTCAGCTACTTTCTGTTAAATTTTTGCGAAAGTATACATGAGCTATAACTTTTGTGTATCGATGCATGCGAAATGAAGTCGAATACTAAAAGTAAGTAGTAATCTCAGGGAAGGTGTGCACTTACCTAGGCAAATGTACAGGTGTAGGTGGATATTTTCGCTAAGTACAAGTCGAAAATTATGTCTACCCGTATACTTTAAGGGGTGGTACAGGAGAGTTTGCAGAGTTGCGTGTAACACTTAACTGTTGCAAAGTTCGAATCGTCTACTACGATCCGCCCATTGAAAAACAATAAGTGTTAGTTGTAACCTCGATCGATGTCCCCTCCAACGCTTCCTGAGAATACACTTTTCTTGATTTTGCGGAGTATGTTTCTGGCCATCTAAGCGAAACGCGCCGTGGTAGAAGTATCTACTCGGTTTGATAAAAAAAAACGAGTTCCTTCGAAATGTCTTCAAATCAGTGCTAATTATGAATCTTCAAGTGTACAATAGGGAAGAATACGATAAGCTGATAAAGCCCATAATGATGAACGGAAGCATAATCTCCATCTGGCCGCTGTCCGAGAACAGTAGCAGAGGAACAGTGCTCTTCAGAAAATTCCATTTATTCTGTATGTTTTTCTTGGTAAGTATCGCTTATCAAGATTAGTGCATCGATAGTGACTAAGTATTACGGATAAAAGAATAATACGGAGGAGTTTTCAGGTGGTGGTGATGTCTGTAGCGGTTACTGCGGATGTGATTTACAATTTAGACGATCTGAACGAGGCAACGGAATGTGCCCTGATCTGTTCAGCATTTTACCTTTGTGTAGTTCGCTTGGTAGTGTACACGATTCACCAGAAGGACATGCTTTACGTGGTGAACACGATGAGGGAGGATTGGATTATGTCTTCTTACGACGACAAGACTATTTTAATGGAAAAGACGTTGTTTGCTTTTCGACTGACCAAGTATTTTATCAGCACCGTGGCCGTAACGATCGTGATATTCATGTGCGTTCCCATTCTGGAAGTACGTACACGAACGCCTTTGTACTTATTTTCTGACTATGTATTCAGACGGAGTGTAGATTCGACTCGTTTTTCGTTAATTTTATCATTTGGTCGATTTCGAAGTCGTTCGTTTCGATTCGATCGTGTTTGATGGCGTTAGTTTTGGTTCTATACATTTCGTTTGAGACGATGTTACGTATCTAGTGGTCTAAGTAGATCTTTCTTCTTACAGATTTATATCTTAGGCCGTGATAAAGTGCTACCCTTCCGTGGCTACTTCTTCATCAATCAAACCGTGTCGCCGATCTTCGAGTGTCTGTATTTGTTCAACGTAACTGCAGGTGGTTTCGGTGGTAGCATGATCGCGGGCGCCACTAGCTTCAATCTGGTAGTGATAATGCACGGATCGGCCAAGTTCGCGGTTCTGCGGAAAAGACTGGAGGCCTTGAACAGCGAGGATCCTGACTCCAACGCCGTCATGGCGGATTGCGTGACGCGTCACCAAGAAGCCATAGCGTGAGCTTCACTCGTCGGACCATAAATTAATTTTCTTAGACCTGTAGAGGATTTAAAATTGAAAATTCTTAGCGCGCTCTTTTTTTTCGCGCAACGAGGATCTTGAAGACATTTACCAAGCTCCTGTAGTTAAGACGCTCTCTTAGTATTGCGACAAATAGCACCCAACAATATCGATCGTTATACATCATTTAAATCCGTCGTCCCACCTAGAATTTGACAATATCCAAGGATCAGTTTCGTTCCACTCCAGTCCCCTCCTCCGTCGATCATTAATCGTGAAAGTGGTCCGCGACTATGCGAAACGATCCGTTTCCAGGTACGCAGATGCATTGGAGAGGATCATAAATGTTCTGGCTTTAGGGCAATTCGTTATTAGCACAGGGCTGATCTGCTTCGCGGGATTCCAAATCACCTCGGTGCGTCTGTTCGATCCTCAGCCTTTCGCGGCGTCCCCGATAAAAAGATGTAACCTTTCCAGATGATGGAGGACAAGGGGCGTTTGATGAAATATTCGACCTTCTTGAACTCCGCCATCCTCGAGCTGTTCATGTTCAGCTTCAGCGGGAACGGGCTGATGGACGAGGTGAGCGCAAAAACTGGTCCCGTAACGTTGGTAAACCACCCAGATATCCGATAGAATATATATATATATATGTAGCGCTTCTTTTACTCTGGAGCTTTGAACGACTTCGAAGTTAGCGCTAGATCGTATATTCGTTAAGTACCTCGCGGTGCTATTAAATCGCGCTTGACTAATTGCGTTCGTAGCAGTAACGTGTATCCACTTGTAAAAGAGAATTGTGGTCATTTATTAACCTTCTACAGGGCAGAACTCCCTGGGCATTTTTTTTTCACTTTTTTTTTTGTAGAAAGCAAGTAGGATCGTAGAAATTTAAAAACACAAAATTCCCGCCCTCTTCCTTAGTGGTAACAATGAATACAGTGACCTATTAAGGGGTTAAGTGTAGCGTAAACCATCCCTAGGATATTTTATGTAATTAATCGATAATCGTGAATGTAACAGAGCGAAGCGGTGAGCGAATCCGCGTACAGCAGCGGTTGGATCGGGAGTCGCCTCTGCCAGAGTCTTCAGATCATGATGATGCGTTCGAGGATCCCCTGCAAGATAACGGCGGCGAAATTTTATAGTATGTCCTTGGAGAGTTTCTCAGCGGTGAGTGAAATCCCAATCTCGAACCACTCGATGGAACTTCGGACTATCGACGCTTCTCTTCGCTGGAAGGAGGACGTATTCTTCTTCTTTGACACGATTCCGTGTGCTTTGCAGGTTCTCAGTACGTCGTTCTCGTACTTCACGGTGCTGACGGCCGCCAAAGACGAATAACGGCTACGATAAACGTAGACGGAGTTCCTTGATGACTCAACTTACAAAGAATATATGTATACTATAGTCGTTGTACTAGCCTAAAGATATCCGTGTACATCAAAGCGTAGCTCGATAGTCTGCCCTCCGAACGCTAGACGAATGATTTCGTGGGTCGATCGCTGCGGAGAACAGTGACAACGAGTTGTCCCGTTCGGGGTACGGCCCGTGCGATGCTAGAAGGTGGAAGGTTTTAGAATAAAGTGGCAAATATTTTCTATCAAGGATTAATTTCACACTCGTTCGTGGGAGCTTTATACCGAAACGCTCGTAGAGTTACTTTTCACGAGGGTCTCTCAGAGAGTGAAAGTAGCCCTAAGATTACAAAGGACGTATCTTTAAATAGGCATTACTACATAAAAATATCTTTTTTTTGGGACTTTTTCCGAATTCTAGGCTCAGCACAGTTCCTCCTCACGGCAATTCGACAAGTAGTCCAGCGATTGTTCGTAATTATTAAAAGGAAGAATCGTTGCTCGTTCAATTTCAAACATTCTCTTCAATAGAATCTCGACGAAAACAGCTTAAACGAAAAACGGAACTCGTGATGTCACCCAGTTTGCACGAGTTTAGGCAAAATGTTACGAGTTTGGCCGTGTTCTCTGGGTGGGGTAAACCATGAAGCGAATGGTCTCGGGAGCGACTCGAGGGTATTTTCATCGCAACAGTAGAACACGTGCACTCGGGCACAGTGCACGCACACGGCGGCTCCTCTCTGGTATCTCGGATTCCGTGTGCATCGTTTGCGTTTGGTGTTCAACGTGGCAAAATGTAACGGGAACGAACAACAAAGGTTCGTTTCGGTAGAGGGTTTCGATCGTTTCGCGTGGCGGAGCTATCCGGGACGCGGCGTCCTGGCGGAGGATGGGAGCCAGATGATTATTGTCGTCCATGGGATGGCAATATGGCGAACATCAAGGTGGCAGTGCGCGTGAGACCGATCTCTGCCAGGTGAGTACCAGCCACTCGTTGCAGTCACTTTCAAAAGTACTGGTTCAAGGACACCAATGAAGATCGAGATCAGAATTAGTATAGATAGTAGGATAGAATTATTCATAGGATGCTCGTTATTAGTTTGTTTATTATTATCGAGGAGAATCAAACTCAGAGGAAGAAAAGGGTCGCGATGAGGTAAAAGAAGAAGGCTTCCGAAGGTAACTCCGTGCGATTAGGGGTGTAGGGAACAGAGTGCTCGTAGCGTAATGAAAACAACGGTTGGAAATTCTAGAAACGCTTCGCCATTTAAGTTTACGGCCCGATACGCGCCGATGTATTTTAAGAAACAGCAAAAACCAATGGAACCGGCGCGCTGCGGTTCTCTTTCTTCGTGCTCCGGATACGTCCACCTTGGGGGAACGGAGGTCAAGGTTTACCGTCTCCGTTCCCTCGGCGTAATTTAATTTTTGCGAAACGGTTCCACGCGAGTTTTACGACTCGTCTCGCATTCTCGACTATCGACTGGTGTCTGCTGGTAACACACGGCCCCGGGATAATTATTTCCCGTCGGTCGTGGCGGCGCAAGAAACGAACGAGGACGGAGATCTGGAGGCAGATTTATAGGACGGTGGCGCCTTTTCGGCCCGGCACTTATGAACTCGTTTCTATACTTAGAAGAAGCGGTCGGAACGTCGCGAAAGTAAGACAAACTGACAATTAGTCAGAGAAACGAACATAGCCTCCCTTGACGGCGAGGAACTGCGGCGACTCGTCCCTGTTTCAAACTTTCGTAGCTCCGCCTTTGGTTCTTTGAATGTTTACATGTCGATGAAGGTTCTTTGAATGTTTACACGTTGATGAAAATTGACTTTCAAGAAATACAGCCCTCGTACCGTTAGAAATCGTATTTGTGATATTGGACACCTCGATAATTGCATCAGAGATTCTAGAAGACCCCGACACTAAAAAAGCCTATCCTAACATAAAATTCTACTTTTTCAGTCAAGGATAAGCAAAGCTCGCGTCGAAAATAGAAGTCGTCGAGATCCCATAAAACTTGGAACGTCTGGGAGCAGCTAAGGGAGCTGGATGAGTTTATTTAAAGCAACGAATTCTCCATCGAACCCTCGACGATCCAGGGGATGGTCGCGCGACAAAGGATCGACCGATCCGTGGAGTGATGTACGCGTCGCGGTGTTCGCCGATGTAGGAATAGCACGACACGCCGATGACACACGACTCGACAGTTTAACGACTCCAACAGGAATAGCGAGAGGAGCATCCGTTCTAGAATAACACTTGACTGGTTGGTTCATGGCGTTTGACACGAGGGAGGAGGCAGGGCGAACTCGGATAATAACGGCGGCTCGGTGCCCGCTATTCGCGTACGAGGCTCGTAGAACCGCTCCGGTTCATTCAAGACATCCTCGGGGTTTTCTTGGAAACCTCATGTTCGTCGAAGCTTCCCGTCATTCGCGAAGAATGGGTATACGTCGTTGCATTTCATTCATTAAGACGTAGAACTCGTCGAAGTAACACCGAGGAGTAAAATTGAAGTGCCTATGTAGTTCGAACTTGAACTATTAACCCTTTTTCTGATTTATCGTTGCAAGACTGTCAGAAGAGTCACACACACAGTCAATCCTATAAATATTCGTACCCTCTATGTCTATTGAAGAAGTTTGGGAGGATCGCCAGAGATTATTCTGCGAATTTCAGGATCGGGAGTTCGATTTTCACGCGACTTTAACGGATTCCGGAAGTCTCGAACGAGGCCCAGCGTCTCCGTTGACCCAGAACGATCCTCGATTGGACGTTCGACAACGACGAGGCGTTAATTTCGCAAAAACGCGAAACGCGGCACGAAATCGTTTCGATTAGACCGAATCGGGGCGATGGGATCACGCGAGGACAGAGGTGAAGCACCGAATCTTCATTCGTGTGTGCGTCACACGCACGTGAACGCGAGCGTTATCGCGCTTCCACTCGTCTCGTGACGCCAAATGTTGTATCACACGACGGAAGACCCGTTCTCGATAACTCGATCGACCGTGGCTCGCGAACGCCGTCTTTACGCGACTGGCTCTGAATTCTCGAACGGATTCTCGACATGTTTCGTGGATTTAGTCGTCTTCTTCCCATCGAGATCCAAGAATGCAGGGACTGTACAACGAACCTGTTCATGTATTCCGTATTATTTATAAAATACTGAAACCTCGAGGATTTCGAGTATTCGAGTATTCGATGTATTCCGTATTATTTATAAAATACCGAAACTTTGAGGATTTCGAGTATTCGAACGGGAAAGCGTGTAACGTGGGTCCTCGATGAATCTATGCTGATCCCCGAAGCGTGAAAAATACGCTCCCCTGGAAAAACGAGAGAACGTCCCTCCCGACTGCGTCGAAAAGGGGTGAAATACAAACCTGTCGTTTCGGGGAACGTCGACAAAAATTGTCGTCGCGTCTCGTCGGTCGTTTCGTTCGCATGACGAACGATTCGTTGTGACTCGAATACCGTGAAACGTTTCAACGTGTAGCAAATTGCATGGTAAATTAAAAATCGTTCTCAACAGTAGTCTGTTCGAACAGGCTTCTAACCGTTCACGTTTCCTTGCAGGGAGCTGAAACAAACAGGATCCGCGGTGGTGGTTCGCACAGACCTGAACGGGATCTCCCTGACGAACCTGAAGGTGTCCTCGAGCAAGGCTGGGGACAGTCGCGAGCGGACGCGAAGATATGGTTTCGATTACTGTTTCGACTCCTCCGATCCCGAAGCAGAATATTTTGCGGACCAGGCGAGGATCTACGAGATCCTCGGCCAGCCCGTCCTGGACGCTGTATTCTCAGGATACAACTCCTGTTTGGTGGCGTATGGGCAAAGCGCTTCTGGAAAGACCTACACTATGATGGGGACGAAGGTAGTCCTTCCAGGACCTCATGGTACCCTGTTGCAAACAGGTTTTAACCCTTTGCTCCCAACGCTTTTAAGTGTTTATTTGAAATTTACTTTAACTAAAAAATAAGGCAATTTAAATACATACAGAAAGAAACAAATTCACTTAAATATCAGTTTTATTCTCACTTTTGTTGTATTTTGTAACTTTCAAGTATATGGTATCTCTAACTAATTATTTCCTTTCCTGTTAATTTGGACACTAAAGAGTATCGAGTGGGACTCGACAAAGGAGCTCCCGAGATAAAAACTAATGTCAAGTCACAGTCGATATAAAAGTGCAAAGGGTTAAATAAGTCATGATTGTAAAAGGGTTAGAAGTTTACGCTGAGAGGAACAGCGCCAACCGCCACCAGATAACTGAGGCTAGCAGTCCCTCAGGATTTTTTTTTTATACCGAGCCGTACAGGGTAATTTTTGCTGAGAAAATTTTCCTTCCACTCCCGTAGTTTATAACGATGCCATCTATGGTCTTATGAGATTTTGTTCCCCGCACCGTATTATGTTCCCCGGGGGGTGGGTATACGCACATAACGTGACGTCAGCCAATGTTCTTGATTTATGTTACCGCATACAGAGTGGGGGAGCCTCCTAAGTCGTGGAGCTTATGTTGGGCAGCACTGGTTTATATATAACATATATTGTATCGGTAACCTCCGCGCTAACCACGAAGTACTCGTCCATATTCGAGGCAAAATAGGTTGACCCATCCAGGAAGCTATCCCCCATCCGCTTCAGCTTAGGTCAAGCGAGAGAGAAAGTATACTATCTAGACAAACTTCATGAAATTATTAGTTAATTTTAAAAGATCGAGTACACCCCCAACCACACTGCAGAACCTTACCCTCTCACCCTCTCAGTCCACCACGTGGAAAACACGCCTCGCGGTAGACGTCATTGCTCAGACCATCTAGGAACTTCGACGTGCCGTTGGCAATCGTCGGTTCATACTCTAGCAGAGCCAGTAGGTTTCCAGCCAACGTCCAATAATAAGTCAGTCGACATCAAGAAACAAACGAACAATCACGAGGCGTCCGCGAACTCGCCAGGTGCGTCCTGTAATTGGCTGACAATCGGAACGCGTTCTTTCTCCGGCGTGGCTTCTCGCGGAAAATTTCGTAGCGAATTGAAATTGTTTTCGACGTAACGGAGCTTAATTAAATTGCCCCGTGGCTACGCGGGCGCGGAACGAAGGTTCAGCGGTGGCTGCGCATTAGAGGGGGTGTGCGCGGCGTGGATTTTTAAAAGCCGGGAACGTGTCCTGGTTATACGTCGGGCACGTACAACCGGTTTCAATTACGGAAGGAGAGTCGTCTGACCGCCGCGGGACATCCGATGACCGATAGTTAACGATACGTAATTTCTGTGACGACCGTTATTCTGTATCTTCGACTGCCCTTCTGTCATCGGCTCTTCCTCTCTGCTTTTTAAAAAACAAATAATGGCTAACGACGTTCTCTCTTTTTGCTGCGTGTTGCAGGAGGATCCAGGACTCACGCCTCGACTGTGCGAGGGGATCTTCTCCAGGATCGAGGGGAGTACCGAGAAGACCTACTGCGTTTCTGTCAGGTGACTGTATATGTGCAGCGGGTCTTTGATTTTCGCACACAATTGGTTCCCGAAAGTGTGCGTGAATGTTGAATGGCTAACTATCTTGGCTTAAAAAGTTGAAGTTTGAAAAACGTGCGAAAGTCGAGGGCTGGCTGTATAAAGGATCAGTATCGACCGTTTGAGTTAAGGAAGAGTTCTCGCGCGTTCAATATTTTTAATGCTTTACATTTCGAACGAGGGTACGAAGGTAGCCACGTTCAGCCACTTCAGGGGCGCGAGTTTCATTCGATCGCAGCTCGACGTAGATGAGAAGCCTACGGCTGGCGATTTCGCGGCCGAATTGACAACTGTGGGAAATTCAGCATTCGCGGCGTCTTCTACGGACGTGTACGAGCGCATCGACGAGCGTACACCAATCGCCTCTCGGTCAAGGTCCGGCTATCGGGCCAATTTTGCCTATCGTTTCCGACAGACCTCGTGCTCGTCCCGTTCGTGCTGTTGATCGTCTAGATTTCGATCAGCCGATTCGTCGCTCGAAATGGATTGTCGTCGAGTAATCCCCGCGTGCCTCGAGTCTCTCTCGCATTCCCGAGAAGCCTATCGTCGAGAGGCTTCGCGAAACCTCTCTACACGGTTCTGACGTTGTACGCCGACGAGAAGTTTATCGTTCCGTTTGTTAAATTAATTTCCAAATAATCCGAGCTTCCAGGAAGACAGCGAGCCAGTTGCTATCGGGTGGATGGCTCGTGGAATAGCTGGAGAATTAGCACGCCACGTGACCTGTCGTATAGCTGTCGTCGCAGTTAATTGGTGCGAACTTGGCAAAATCAGGACCGCGGCTAGTCGAGGAAAATATTGTGTGTCGGGGTGGTTGCGAGGTGGCCCGTTGCTGGAAGGGGAGGCGATAAACGTTCAAGTCGAGCTGAGGAGTCGCGAGTTTGCAAGCGCTGTTGGCCTGGATGTGTCTTATAAGCTCAGTGCCCCGTGACTCGCAATCCTAAGCGGACGTCGGTTCGCTGCACCTGGGTAAAGAGCTCCGGCGATCGTTTCTCCACTCTGCGGTTCGATTGGATCGCGTCGAGTTTCGCTTGAAATACAATCGTAGAGACCGAAATTGAACGCGGGCTGCAGTTTTGGTAAGATCTGTTGACTACTGTTCGAACTCACCTCGTGAACGTCCATTTGCACCGTTTTGTTGTCGATCGCATTGATTTCGCAGAGGTATCTAGACGTGAGGCATACCCTTGGCTAAGAATGTTTTCGCAAAGACCCCCTCGAGACGTAAGATTGCACTTTTTCGCCCAGCGTCGTTCCGCTCTTTAAGTCGCCTCAAGTGCGACGCGAAGAAACGGAATAAACAGAAAATCGAGGGTGCGCTGGGCTTCGTCCACGTAAACGCGAGAATTTCGCTAGGAATAAAAATTCCTCGAAACCAACCTCTCCACCCAATCTTCGATTCGCGCTTTTTCTCGTAAACAGTTTTATTCCCATATTAAACGCTTGCCGGATTGCCTTGAGCTTCGCGCGGAAAAAAAGAAAAACGTCCAACTCACCGCTCTTGGTGCGCCGAGCACTCGTAAAAATTGTATTTACCGTCGCGCGAAATACCGTTTCCTCTTTTTTCGTTTCTTCCGTTTCATCGGTGAATGGGAGAGAGCACGCGGGTTGCGTTGCTCCACGCAACTTTTATCGACGCTCGTATACGTGCAGGACGACTTTAGAAAATTGTTAAGTATCATGGCCCAAAATTTTCTTCCGTTTTATTAATAAGTAATACATACACCGTAATTTATGTTTTATGTTGCGTTACTGAATCGTGTAGGATCCATTTTGCTCTGTTACCGTGTAACATCGACTTCTGAGAGATTAGGTTGTCTATTTATACAAATACTGTCATAAAAGGATAACTAAGTGTAAATCGCGAAAGTAACTTTTGCAGAAGTATTCCGTCCTACAAATTGCCTCTCTGACAACTGACTTTCCTTTCGCTTTGTAGATCGCACCATTTCACCGGCAATCTCACCCACGAATCGAAAAAGGAATGCGAAAGGCACTGTAGTCGAACGACGGAGGATTCATCGCGCGGTGCATTAGTTTAGCGTAGTTGACGATCAGTCGTCGAACGGAATGGATTCGCTTCTCGGTCGATTCCTCAGACGTCGAGGACGACGTTGATCCCCAGCACGCGTGCATTCGTAACTCGGAGGTTTCCGGTGAGAAACGAGGACTGCACAGGGATCGAAGCTTTGCAGCAGCTTCGCGTTGGTTCACCGCGTTTCCTTGCGAGGGGATTTTTCCGTCCACGAAAGCGGAAAATCGCGGGGAACTTTGCTTGATATATTGCGGGCCAACCGAATCGGTCAGCTTGAGCGCCCCTTCTTTCTCTTTTGGGCTGGTTCCGCGGTCCTCGTCAGTCCTCGACGTAAAATCGTTAAGTGAGTCGACGAACAAACTTTCCGCGTGTTCCCTCGTTACGTTTCGAAACGTGAATGAATTTTGGGACACAGGTTCGTTCTGGCATTGCTGAGAGTGACATTTTATCTCTTAGGGTACATTTTATTATCGTTAGAGGTAATAGATCGGAGGTGATAGGGTGTTGTTGAAAGTTTATGTCTCTGACAGAGATTCGTTACTTTTATATCACGTGTACGTTTCTATAAATGCTTTACTTCCACGAGATGAGTTTCTACCAAAGGATTCGATGGTTCGCTTTTATTTTAGCGGACGTTTCCCAGTTTTAGCTAGAAGAAGTGACGTCCATCGCCGAGGAGAGGGTCCTTACGCTGTTTATCATTCATAACTGGCTCGTGAATCATTCCATTGTTTTGCACACGGTACGGTCAACGGAAAAAAAGGAAATAAACGACTGATTTACGCGGTGCCGTACGAGGCGGAATCGTACGTCGCGCACGCTTCGCTTGAATACTATAAATTCGCGTTTATACGATCACCGGCAGTTATTAAAAGTGCTACGGCGACTCGTTGTTCGCGTAGGGGGACAAAAATACGCGTCCTGTCGCGGGCCGGTGTGTATCGTCGACTTCGGATATAAAGCCACCGCCATCGTCATTCATGTTCCCTTTCCCGTGCTCGACGGAAATCCCCGCGCGCTCGTTGGATTTAGGAAGCGGAATTTTTCCGTACGTTAACGGTGTCACGCGCGGAAAACTAACCCCCATCGTTTGTCGTGTTTCGCGACGCGACCGATAATGGGTAGCTCGCTAAAATATTTCGTATATCTTTTAGATTAAAACGTATTCTGATAGCACGACGATAACTCCCGTCGATGGGCCATTTTTCCGCGTGTATCCGTCCGAAAATTTCACCGCGTCGAAGATCACGATTCTGGAACACCCGGACATTTCCTAGCTTTTACGTTGGCCGAGTTACGGTCACCGGAGAACACAATTTGGCATGTGCGCGTCACCATGCGGAATTTCACGTGTCATGGAATTTTTCCAACGAAGGTTTCATGTTTTTTCAAACTGTACCGTACCTTTTTTTCTGGACGGAGTACCTTTGCGAGCCTGCGTTCCGTCGAATAAATCATCGCGGTGGTGGTTTGGATCACCTAGGTTTAAATATCGATTTAGTCTCTAAGTAGTAGTAGAGCTTCTCTACTACGTATTTTCCAAGTACCAAAGTACTTCCAAGTACCAACTGCCAAGTATCGATTTGTTTTCCATATTTTTCTATGTAGATTTTCGAGTCCGTTCTACTCATGAATGGAAAAATAGGTTCAGTGGTTGTAACAGGGATCTACGATTTCGTATCACCAGATATTAGTACCGACGCCCGCGATATCACGATCCCGTGAATCCGAACGATAAAATCCGATAGCGTTCTATACATGTTTCGCGCACGATGGCTGCAGGAGGTGTTGCACGCTACGTGTATAAATAAGCAGCCGGCTTTTCGGCGGCGACGCACCGACCTGTTCGCGACGAACTTTCCTCGTACACGGTTGCCTAAATGATTTATCCGGCGTCTCCTGAATATCTTATTCGGGGTCGCAACCATCGTTCACGTTCGTAGTTCCAATGGACTTTCGTCTTGAAGGAAACCTAATGAAAATTGAATAGCTATTTACAACTCAGTTAGTCTTAAGACAAGCTTCATTCTAGTTTTAAGTTAACCGCATTTATTCTATAGGAAAAAGGAATTTAGAAAGGAAAACATTATATCTCCATATCTGAATCTTTGAAGCGTTTCGTTCCCATTTTATGTAAAAATTGTGAATAATTTTCATCCCTTTCGTCGTCTTAGGACAAGCTTTATTCGATTCTAGCTTCAGGTCACCTGCATTTATTCTATAGGAAAAAAGAATTTAGAAAAGAGAACATTATATCTCGATATCTGAATCTTTGAAGCGTTTCATTCCCATTTTATGTAAACATTGTATATAACTTTCACCCCTTTCAACGTCTCATAACTTTATCCCTCATTGTAGAAAGTTTCCCATAGAAGAGGAGTGAAAGTGCAGTCAAAGAGGATACAGAAATACGCAATTACAAGACTAAAATGAGTTTGAACAACGTCATGCAAGCAATCTACCTTTCCAGTGACGATTTCAACGAGAGGGCTCGCGCAGTGAATTGCTTTGCAAGATAAGAAAGCTGCGAGACTCGAATCGTTTCGCGAGAAAATAAACAAAACAAACGTGCACTTTAAACGCAAACATTTGACGTACTTGGCCCTAATTCTGCGAGGAATTTCATCCCCCGGTCGGGGCGCTGTTAATAGCGAAGATTCAACAACGAGTTGCTACGTTTTCAGAGCCACTTCGGCCCCTGTAAAAGCCCCTTCTTCGTCGTTTCTCGCGGATAAAGTGGCAGTGAGTTTTCGTCCGAAGCCGTGTTCATTAAGACGTAAGTTCCTCCGACGCAACTCGAGTCAATCTTGCGCTGCTTAATAATACGAATAATAAGACGTTAAAACGAGGTTGCTCCCGCGTCGAAACGTCCCGTCGTATTTAAAGCTGAAGGAGTTCCCGCGAGGAGGACAGTGTCAAAACGTTT